CACGGACGGGCCGGCCCGCCTGCTCAACCTCGACCTCGACCTCTGGGTCCACCTGAACTGCGCCCTGTGGTCCACGGAGGTGTACGAGACGCAGGGCGGGGCCCTGATCAACGTGGAGGTGGCCCTGCACCGCGGGCTGCTCACCAAGTGCTCCCTGTGCCAGAAAACCGGCGCCACCAACAGCTGCAACCGCATCCGCTGCCCCAGCGTGTACCACTTCGCCTGCGCCATCCGCGCCAAGTGCATGTTCTTCAAGGACAAGACCATGCTGTGCCCCCTGCACAAGCTGAAGGGGCCCTGCGAGCAGGAGCTCAGCAGCTTCACCGTGTTCCGCCGCGTGTACATCGAGCGGGACGAGGTGAAGCAGATCGCCAGCATCATCCAGCGCGGGGAGCGGCTCCACATGTTCCGCGTGGGCGGGCTGGTCTTCCACGCCATCGGGCAGCTGCTGCCCCACCAGATGGCCGACTTCCACAGCGTCACCGCGCTCTACCCCGTGGGCTACGAGGCCACGCGCATCTACTGGAGCCTGCGGACCAACAACCGCCGCTGCTGCTACCGCTGCACCATCTGCGAGAACAACGGGCGCCCCGAGTTCGTCGTGCAGGTCATCGAGCAGGGCCTGGAGGATCTCGTCTTCTCTGACTCCTCGCCGCAAGGTGAGGAGTTGGGAGATGCTGGTGCTGGACTAGTGCCGGCACTCATTGCCTGTCCCAGCGGTTGAGCCGCACCGGAACGCAACAGGGGATGGGGTGATGGGAGGTGACTTGAGCTGGGGGGGTCCCCAATGGGTGCTCTGGTCTGGTTGGCGAGGTGGGTGTTCGGTCAAAAGTCGGGCTCGATGATCTCGGAGGTCTTTTCCAACCCGATTAATGCTGGGGTTCTGTGGTTCTCCCTTCCCTCGGCAGCCGTCTGGAACCGGATCATCGAGCCGGTGGCGATGATGAGGAAGGAGGCCGACATGCTGCGGCTCTTCCCCGAGTACCTGAAGGGCGAGGAGCTCTTCGGCCTCACGGTGCACGCGGTGCTGCGCATCGCCGAGTCGGTAGGTCCGGGGGAGGACGGGGGTCTCCCCTCCGTACTGGAGGTCAGCCCTGCTGGGGAAGGGTCTGGTGGCTGCCCTGGTGCTGCCACTCGACCCCCGGCCCTCCTGTGTCCCCTCGGCAGCTGCCGGGTGTCGAGAGCTGCCAGAACTACCTGTTCCGCTACGGGCGCCATCCCCTGATGGAGCTGCCACTGATGATCAACCCCACCGGCTGCGCCCGCTCTGAGCCCAAGATCCTCACCCATTACAAGAGGTAAGTGGGGCTGGGATCTACTGGGAGAGCCAGGATCCACCGGGACAGCTGGGATCTGCTGGGAGAGCTGGGATCTGCTGGGAGAGCCAGGATCCCCCAGGAGAGCTGGGATCTACCGGGAGAGCCAGGATCCC